AGGGGTTTAGGGGTTTGGGGGGGGGGTTTAGGGGTTTAGAGATTTCGGGGTTTAGGGTTTAGGGTTAAGGGTTAAGGGTTTTAGGGTTTCGGGAAGCCAGAAACTTGGGGCATCATTATCCTGATACCCTCAAAGTAAAACATATGGAGTCTCCGCGCGAATCACTAACCATCCTAACACCATTTTCCAACTTTCTAGGGTTCACTGTAATCAGGGAGAGTGATAATGCGAGTTGCTCAGTATGTGTACTGCGATGGCTGGTGTAGTGTACATATTCATACTCAGGTTCATAATGATGAAGTATCAACGGACTGACCTGCACATAAGGTTCGGGTGAGGCGTTGCGTCGGGTTCTGCGTCAAAGCGTGATCCTGGGTTTTGGGTCCTGTTGGGGTTTCGGGAGCAGGGTTTAGGGGTTTTAAATTCTACTCCCACGAAATCTTAGGGTTCAGACACATGATCTAGGGCTACAGTACTTCAAGACTGTAGTGTCCTAAACCCTAAACCCTAAACCCTAAACCCTAAACCCTAAACCCTACCAACTTTCCACCCTAAGACCCCTGGAGACCCTATAAACTTCTGGGGCGGAAAGACATCAGAGACTAAACCTGCGGGATTTCGAGGATTTCGGGTCCAGACATTGAATCCCTAAACCCTAAACCCTAAACCCTAAACCCTGATCCCTGAACCCTGAACCCTGAACCCTGATCCCTGAACCCTAAACCCTAAACCCTAAACCCAACCCTAAACCCTAAACCCTAAACCCTAAACCCTAAACCCAGGGCGAATTCCGGCAAACTGGGGGATTCAGGCTTTCAGTGCTTGCACTTTAGACAGTTAGGGCTTTCAGGTCCGGGGCAGCAGGGCTGTGGCGCTTGGGGTTTCGGTGTGTCGCGCTTAGGCCTCTGTGGGCTCCGCGTTTAGGTTTAGACTTGGCCCTAAACCCTAAGCCCCCAAACCAGAAGCCCTAATGCCCTAAACCCCAAAACCCTAAACCCTCAACAATACCCAAAAACCCAAAACCGTAAACCCCAAACCCTAAACCCCTCAATCCTAAACCCCAAGCGTTGGGGTTAGGTTGTTGGCCAGGAAGCCCGTTCCTGAAAGTAGACGCAAGGGTGGACGCCGTTGGTGTACTCTAGCTTGAAGAGGCCTGGTGCTGCAGGGATCAGGGTTTGGGGTTTGGGGTTTTGGGGTTTCGGGGTTAGGGTTTTGGGGTTTAGGCTTTAAGGTTTAGGGTCTTGGGCTGAAGGTTTAGGGATTTAGGGTTTAGGGTCTAGGGTTAGAGTTGTAGCGTTTAAGGGTTTAGGGATCTATCCAAGGTCGGAATCGTTAGAACTAGTATCCCGTGAGGGTACCATATTGCGGGTATAATATAATAACAGTAACCCCCTTGTAGTAATTCGCCTGGGCCCCGGCCGAAGCGGTCAGAGGTTTCTACGGATTACCTCTATTCCCCACCTCTTAATCCCCTCCCCAGTGACCTGACGGGGGGGGGGCCAGGAGCAAAGCTGGCCATGTCGCTATCATTGTTTGGGTTTCAACTCCAACTCCAACTTATGCCATTACGGTTACTAGTACTGGCACAGGCAGCAAGACTGTGGCTCTATTCGCATGGCTACTACTACCCACGACTTACTACTTACTACAACACTTACAACTTCTATTTCTGCTGCTACAACTACTACTACTACTACTACTACTACTACTACAACTACTACTACTACTACTACTACTACTACTACTACTACTAGTACTACTACTACTACTACCACTACTATTACTACCACCACCAC